AGAACCCATGAAATTAACGATCGATGAATAAATATAAAATGATGTGTATGTTATCAAAACGTTTACCTGCTGGCCACCTCTAATTACATACTCCGTATATACTCTCATGGATTCGGAGCCTCTACCTTATTTTAGAGTAAGGTAAAGTGCATTGCTTCTTCCCGATCGTCCGAGTGACAATTCAACGGTTGGAGATCTTGGGCTCCACTTTTTTGCCAATCTCAAGGCTGTCTTGGCCGCTCCTGTGCCGTCCGATGCGCAAGGCACATATGCCACATTGTCCACCCTGAATGACACAGCTGGAATGTTGTGTTACGATCCCACATTGGTCAAGTACTGGCTTGGTCGGTGGCTTATAAGCAAGGTGTTCCCTCCTCCTAATTGTCTGGTCTTTTAGGAGTGAGTTCTACACATGGGCTTATGGCACTGCTACGGGCCTAGTATGGGCTAGGTCCGTAACAATTGGTATCAGAGCCGTCCCCATCTTCCTAGTCCCGACACTTGGAGTGGTGGCCTATGGAGTGGTGGCTTGGGCCTTGGGGGTGCCAACCGTGACCAACATAGCCGTGAACAACGAGGACGTTGGCTCTTCGAAGCGTGGGGTATTGTTACGATCCCACACCGATCAATTATGAGATTGATTGGTGGCTTATAAGCAAGGTGTTCCCTCCTCTTAATCGGCTGGTTTTTTAGGAGTGAGTTCTACACATAGGCTTATGGCACTGCTACGGGCCTAGTATGGGCTAGGTCCGTAACACCGATTTAATAGTAGCATTTAATCTCTTAACTCCTTGATGAAATCAATTGCGATTGATAACCTCAACACAACGGATTCAGTTTAACCAACACAATTAGTCTCTCTTAAGTTTATTGACCACGACCGTACTGTTTTGTACCATTCTGAAACGACATGGTACCGAACAGTTCCATCCTTAAAACCGGACCGTTAAAAACCTCACGGATACATTACGAGTTTTACTAATTTACCGGACCATTCTGGACCGCGCTCACCCCTATAAAATTCTATAGATGCCATGAAGAGCAGAACACAATTCAGCAAGTTTAATATACTAATCCGTTTCAAACACTATAATCTCCAAATAACCTATCTAAACATCACTTATATGTGCAGATAGAAACAAATTAAATAAACTATACTAACCAATTCAATGCATCTTAATATTATGCTACGAAGAGGGGAAAACTATAGATAGGTAAGGGGGGAAAATGAAATACATCAATAAAGAAATACGATTTTATATGTATCAGAAACTTTGTCCTTCAATTTCATTTTAACCATATTAAAAAATGCTCTTAACCTATTTTTTTACGCTAAAAATAGAAATAAAAAAATTAACCACAACAATAACTTTTATTAGTACATTTTAAAATAATAACGACAAATATCACCACTCAAACGTGCATATAAATTAAACATGGCACGAAGGGGGCAATGAATAAATTAACATACTTAACCTCTCTTTCTATACATGTATAAAAACATGCATGCTAGCTAGTATAATAAAAAAATTTACTTATTTTAACTATCCTGTTATATAATTAACTGCGCAGTTTATATACTTATAAAACACAGTTATCTTCCAAAAATCTTTTTTTTTTATTACTAAATCTTCCAAAAATCATTTGAGTGCCTTCCCGATTGAATTTTTAGCTGAAGTTTGGTATGGATAAACTAGACTTGATGAGGAACATGCTCAAAAAATTTCATCAAAGGAATTCCACCGGGAAGGGCCTCTGATGGCCTTGGACAGACGGGGCCACCCGTCCCTCCGGATGGACCTGATCTTTATTGTGTGTGTATGTGTATATATATATATATAGAGAGAGAGAGAGAGAGAGAGAGAGAGAGAGAGTTTATATATTCATTCACACATTTCTTGTGGAATTGTTTGCCTTCTGATTCTAGCTATGCTTAGTACATGAGGAAAATGCCCTGAAGGATTAAAACAAGTCTAACGAACCGGCCTTTCTAAGAAAGAATTTACCTAAGGTCAGAATATAACATTTAGCTATACTTTTGTTAGTGTTTGGGTATTATCGATCTAGAGATTAATTCCAAGTCTCTCATTTACCCGAGGTCAGAATATAACATTTAGCTAAATCTATCACATATATCGTTTAAGCATAGCTATCTGACAGCAACAAGAAACTAACAGAAGAGATGTGGACCTAGAGGAATAAGGATTGCGCAGTAATCAAGACGTTACAAGACTCCTATCATGACTAAATGTATTAAAGGCATCTGTTTTATCTCCTTTAATGACTATAACTCTGGGTCTATAAATACTTCATGTATATACCCTAAAAGGGGTCCGCTCTCTGGAATAACAATACTGCCTTACGCTGCCTAAATTTCATCTGCTTTCGTAGATTAGCTCTCGTAGTTGGAATTAAACTCCATCATTTGATGCTCTCGTTGAGAGACGATTTACGACAAAGACGATGGTTGGATCAAACAATCACAACTGTGCTGGCAGTAACCAAGGCGATGCTCATTCGCGACGGAGCAGCTTCCAGAGAAGGAACAACAACGTGTTAACCCCGGGCAATTTGAGGAATCATCTTCATGGTGGCGGGAGTTACATGCATCCAACAACACGTCCATCGCAGTTCCGGACTCCGGCCATCAGGAACCACGTTCTAGGCGTGGATGCCGTGCAAACATTAACTAGCTTGGCAACTTTCCAAAGGGCTGTGGAAACCCTGACCACAACCTTTCAAGGAATCGTTCCCAATACTTGTGAGAGGCCACCTTCTCCCCGATGTGTGCCATTGGTGACTCGTTAGGAGGAGGAGGCTAGGAAGCGGTGTTTGCGCACCGCCAGAGGAATTCACCTCTTGCAAGGTCTCAGAGGTCCCACCACTACAGGCAGACCCAATGACATCGGTGATGGTCCGCATCGGGGAACAAAGGGTTTCGTGCATGACAGACTCTCTTCAAGGGTGGAGAGAGGCGAAGAGGCCTCATCAGCAGTTGCTTCCTCCCACCATCGCAGCGTGCGTGGGGAAGATCTCAGGCATGAGGTCCCTGGACATTGACGGAACATAGGGATTATACTCCCCAACCCCGTGTCCAGGCTGGTCGGGATGATGACGATCTCAGAAGGCGTCTTGATGAACTCAGAAAAGCGGTAGATGGCTGGGTCAATCTCAATCATGATGTAAGGATTCCTGAGTCATTTATTCAGCAGATCATGGAGGCTCTATTGCCACATGGGTACAAGCCTTGCAACATTGTGACCTACCGAGGAAAAACTGATCTCCAACACCATGTTTCTAGATATTTTAATTTATTATTTTACTAACATTTTTTATTAAATGACAATGCAATTAAATTAATATGTAACATAAAAAATAAAAAAAGTACGTTGAATTAAATAACATACCATATCTTGAACACACTGCACATTGACCTCTATCTTGCAATGTCCTTCAAACCAAGTATTGTTTTCAATGGACATACCTCTATCTTGTGATCTGCCGCGAACTTGAGAATTGCCTCTGTTTTGACTTTGTCCTCTACCTCGACCTCGACTTCTTCCTCCATTTCTGCCTCCCCCTCGTCTGTTAGTTTCTGATACGAGGGCATATGATTGTTCTTTCCTAGCTTCCTTCCTTCGGGCTTCTTCGTTCATAAGGGCATCTGTGACCATCTGCATAGTCACATTGCCATTGGGAGCAGAATTGCTAAGAGTGACAACAAGAGTCTCCCAGATGTCAGGTAGAGAGATCAAGAGTAGTATCACCTGTTCTTCATCTTTAAGAACCCATCCGGTAGTGCTCAACTTATTCACAAGATCCTGGAATTGACTGGTGTGTTCAGACACCGAAATACCTCCTCGTAACTTGTGGTTTACTAATATCCTCATTAGTAACGTCTTATTTTGGGCAGTTTTTGCTTGATACATGCTACCAAGCTTCTCCCATAATGTGTAAGCCCTTTTTTCTTGAGCCACATGGTGGAACACACTATGATCTATCAGATTTTCGGTTCATTTTTGTCCATTCTTCATCCGTCTCTTTATCCGATTTCACGCCATTATTATCAAGAGGATCAGCTAAATCCCTCAAATTTAGCAAATCCTCCATCCGAGCCTTCCACATATTGTAATTTGTGGAAGTGAGCGAAATCATGGTGTCCGGTGATGATTTATCCATAATAAAACGCTCAATATATCTCGTACCTTATTTTCGAAGCCGAATTTGGACAAACGGAGCTCACCGTTGAATCCGGAATGGCCGAAAATGGTAGGAACCGGTCTAACCTCATCCAAAACCGGTCTGGATGGCGTTGAACCAGGCTTCACAACTACGAACCGGTTCGGTCCGGTTCAGGCAGCAGCCAAGTGTGCTGAAATAGGTGCCAGTGACGTGGCGACAGCTGGCGCACACGTTGCTGCCGTGTCGCCACGTGTCAGATGATGTGGCTATGATCCAGGTAGGCAGCCGACTCGGTGGCTGGTGAATGACGTCGACATCTAGTCCCGACCGTCACCGACATCCATTGTGTTGTTGTATTGCTTTTACTTTCATCCATTGTGTGACTATATATATAGTAGTTGTTGTTGCAACAGGTACGCATGTTTGCCTGATGATAGCGCAAATTAATAATTTTGTAACTCTTCCAAGCAATTATTCAAGCACTACGTATACTTTATATGATGTTCTTTATTATTACAAATTAACTACGTACTTTATGTTTGCAATCTCACATCAATATTACTGAGTTATTTTTGTTCATGCAAAATAAAGTTCTTGCTAAATGAAAATATTTCATACACTACCAAAAAGCTTCCTTATTAGCAAGGATTTTGAGATAACGTAGAATACTAGAATTGAATCATAACATAAATCATGCATGGTTGAGTTTTGTGTATATGAAACATGCAGAAATAGTTAGATGTTAATAACTATAAATTCATAGAAAAGATCGGAATGTGGTAAACAATGTTCTAAGGGATGCCAGACGCATATAGTATGGAGAGTATTTATTTGAAGGCCAATTCTATCGATACCATAGTTTGACTGTTGATCAAATATTGCACGCATTTCAATAATTTAAATATTTATAAATGATGAAATAAGGACTTGGAGTACTAATCAAATATCGTAAACCAAATTCAAGCATCCCTTTTCATTAACATGTACAAGAGGGATGTGGTAGGGTTACATTATTGAGATGGGGTACAAGAGGGATGCAATATGTATGTACAAGAGGGATGGGGTAGGGTTACATTATTGAGATGGGCCAATGTATATGGACCTAGACTTTGTGAACATCCACGTACATAGTAATTACATAACAATTCCCCATGGATGTACATTATTAAAAAAAATAACAAGATTTTTTTTTGTATAACCGGAAGGTAAACCACCCATCGACGGGGCGAATGTCGGGGGACATTCACCTATATCTTATTAAGATGATATCCAGTATAAATCAGAGAGAGGGACCGAACCAAAACCTCTCAGAAGAACACCAATGAGAAAAACAATGCTAAAGAAGAGCTAGACAAACTCTAAAAAGAGTCTATCTAAACCTCAAAAAGAAAAACCTTATCAACAACAAAGTAAATGAAAGGAGAAAAAAATCTACTCAAAAGATGTAAGGAGTAGATCTCTTGTCAAGAAGTAATGCACCAACGATCTCCAATGGAAGAGGATCACCTTTTCTCCAGCTGAAAGCCTGCTGCAGGCCCAAACTAGCCACCAACCGAGCTGCTTTATTAGCCTGATCCGGAATCAAAGAGGAAATGGTGCATCGTTAAAAACCTTGGCAAGGAGAATCGAGTTGGACAAAACCTTGATCAAGGGAAAAAGAGTGCAATAACACATGTGAAGTCGTATAACGGATGACTCGTCCCCCGAGGTCGGAGTGTGATGCACTATAAAGAGGTAAGAGCACGCAAGAACTCGTATGTAGTCAAGAGTGTGCGGTATTAACATTTATATTGGAGCTTATAAATCGTCACACTCATATGACATGACCCGGTGGTGCGAGTGTGGGTGCTCGACCAGTGTACGAGTGTGTGTGCTCGTCCGGCGTACTTGAGTGATCAAATTTCATTAGTCCGTTGTTCAATGTTAAAATTAGACACACTTAACAAGAGTAAAAGCAATAATTATCCCACTTAATTTTTTCTTTTTTAACGTTTCAATTTATGATTTTTTTTCTTTTTACTAAATAACCGTAGGAGAGATTTTTAGCACTTATCTTGTGGTCCCAGTTCGCTCAAAATGACAAAATGGCCCCCAGAAGCTCCAAGCAGCATTTCGCACCTAAAATTAGAATCCTAAATGTTGACCAGTCTTATCCTTACTCTGAGGGTTTGTGCGCCACACTTTTTTTAAGGATGGCCGGGATGATGACGATCTCAGAAGGCATCTTGATGAACTCAACAGAGCGGTGGATGGCAGGGTCAATCTCAATCATGATGTCTGGATTCCTGAGTCATTTATTCAGCAGATCATGGAGGCTCTGTTGCCACAGGGGTACAAGCCTTACAACATTGTGACCCACCGAGGAAAAGCTGGTCCCCAGCACCATGTTTCTAGATATTTTAATTTATTATTTTACTAACATTTTTTATTAAATGACAATGCAATTAAATTAATATGTAACATAAAAAATAAAAAAAGTACGTTGAATTAAATAACATACCATATCTTGAATACACTGCACATTGACCTCTCAAATGGCATCTAATAAGGATGTTTTCTTTTGGACTGAAATTTGCTGGTCTGGTCAGGTAAGCGTCTGGTCTTTATGTATTTTATAACTACGGAAGTCAAGTCTGGTCTGGTCTGATCTGGTCTGATCTGATCTGGGACTGAAAACAGTCCAAAAGAAAACATTCTAACATCATTGAATTACTCTAGAAGAACTATAATATATACGTAGTATACTGTAAATAAAATGAAATTTTTTTTCATCCAAAATAAAATAAAATAAAATGAAATTTGTACGGAGTATTAAACAACTCCAATTAGTCCAAGAGAAAATTGCTCTCCGTAGGAGCAAATCAAAGGAATTTTACAAAAATAGGATTGAGTAACGTTTTTTCATTGCGTAGGATCTATTTAGCACCATTTTTGAAAACTGTATTCTTGTCTTCCATTTTTACCCTTCCCTTTATATTAGTATATTTAAAATAAAAATACAGACCTACTTGGACAGTACACAACCGCTGCGGGCTATGTCTCTCGGCCACACCACAGAACACCACCGTGTACAATGACGCCGCCCACCACCGCCATTTTCTCCGATGACGCCCACTGCCGCCGTGACCACCAAGCTTGCTCTCCAGTGAATCTCTCTGGTGCTGCCTCCAATCCTGCTGGCCACCTCTAATTACATACTCCGTATATACTCTCATGGATTCGGAGCCTCTACCTTATTTTAGAGTAAGGTAAAGTGCATTGCTTCTTCCCGATCGTCCGAGTGACAATTCAACGGTTGGAGATCTTGGGCTCCACTTTTTTGCCAATCTCAAGGCTGTCTTGGCCGCTCCTGTGCCGTCCGATGCGCAAGGCACATATGCCACATTGTCCACCCTGAATGACACAGCTGGAATGTTGTGTTACGATCCCACATTGGTCAAGTACTGGCTTGGTCGGTGGCTTATAAGCAAGGTGTTCCCTCCTCCTAATTGTCTGGTCTTTTAGGAGTGAGTTCTACACATGGGCTTATGGCACTGCTACGGGCCTAGTATGGGCTAGGTCCGTAACAATTGGTATCAGAGCCGTCCCCATCTTCCTAGTCCCGACACTTGGAGTGGTGGCCTATGGAGTGGTGGCTTGGGCCTTGGGGGTGCCAACCGTGACCAACATAGCCGTGAACAACGAGGACGTTGGCTCTTCGAAGCGTGGGGTATTGTTACGATCCCACACCGATCAATTATGAGATTGATTGGTGGCTTATAAGCAAGGTGTTCCCTCCTCTTAATCGGCTGGTTTTTTAGGAGTGAGTTCTACACATAGGCTTATGGCACTGCTACGGGCCTAGTATGGGCTAGGTCCGTAACACCGATTTAATAGTAGCATTTAATCTCTTAACTCCTTGATGAAATCAATTGCGATTGATAACCTCAACACAACGGATTCAGTTTAACCAACACAATTAGTCTCTCTTAAGTTTATTGACCACGACCGTACTGTTTTGTACCATTCTGAAACGACATGGTACCGAACAGTTCCATCCTTAAAACCGGACCGTTAAAAACCTCACGGATACATTACGAGTTTTACTAATTTACCGGACCATTCTGGACCGCGCTCACCCCTATAAAATTCTATAGATGCCATGAAGAGCAGAACACAATTCAGCAAGTTTAATATACTAATCCGTTTCAAACACTATAATCTCCAAATAACCTATCTAAACATCACTTATATGTGCAGATAGAAACAAATTAAATAAACTATACTAACCAATTCAATGCATCTTAATATTATGCTACGAAGAGGGGAAAACTATAGATAGGTAAGGGGGGAAAATGAAATACATCAATAAAGAAATACGATTTTATATGTATCAGAAACTTTGTCCTTCAATTTCATTTTAACCATATTAAAAAATGCTCTTAACCTATTTTTTTACGCTAAAAATAGAAATAAAAAAATTAACCACAACAATAACTTTTATTAGTACATTTTAAAATAATAACGACAAATATCACCACTCAAACGTGCATATAAATTAAACATGGCACGAAGGGGGCAATGAATAAATTAACATACTTAACCTCTCTTTCTATACATGTATAAAAACATGCATGCTAGCTAGTATAATAAAAAAATTTACTTATTTTAACTATCCTGTTATATAATTAACTGCGCAGTTTATATACTTATAAAACACAGTTATCTTCCAAAAATCTTTTTTTTTTATTACTAAATCTTCCAAAAATCATTTGAGTGCCTTCCCGATTGAATTTTTAGCTGAAGTTTGGTATGGATAAACTAGACTTGATGAGGAACATGCTCAAAAAATTTCATCAAAGGAATTCCACCGGGAAGGGCCTCTGATGGCCTTGGACAGACGGGGCCACCCGTCCCTCCGGATGGACCTGATCTTTATTGTGTGTGTATGTGTATATATATATATATATATATATATATATATATATAGGGAACTCTTCCGGTAAGGTATACCTTACCGGAGCCGCCGTGCGGCCTCCACGTTTTGAGGGTCTTCCCGGTGGAATTTTTTGATGAAATTTTTTGAGCATGTTTTTCATCAAGTCTAGTACATCCATACCAAATTTCAACAAAAAATTCAATCGGGAAGGCAGTCAAATGATTTTTGGAAGATAACTGCAACCTTTATATACATATAAAACGCAGTTATCTTCCAAAAATCGTTTGACTGCCTTTCCGATTGCATTTTTTTCTGAAATTTGGTATGGATGTAATAGATTTGATGAAGAACATGCTAAAAAAATTTCATCGAAAAATTCCACCGAGAAGGCCCTCAAAACGTGGAGGCCGCACGGCGGCTCCGGTAAGGTATACCTTACCGGAAGTTTTTCCATATATATATATATATATATATATATAGAGAGAGAGAGAGAGAGAGAGAGAGAGAGAGAGAGAGTTTATATATTCATTCACACATTTCTTGTGGAATTGTTTGCCTTCTGATTCTAGCTATGCTTAGTACATGAGGAAAATGCCCTGAAGGATTAAAACAAGTCTAACGAACCGGCCTTTCTAAGAAAGAATTTACCTAAGGTCAGAATATAACATTTAGCTATACTTTTGTTAGTGTTTGGGTATTATCGATCTAGAGATTAATTCCAAGTCTCTCATTTACCCGAGGTCAGAATATAACATTTAGCTAAATCTATCACATATATCGTTTAAGCATAGCTATCTGACAGCAACAAGAAACTAACAGAAGAGATGTGGACCTAGAGGAATAAGGATTGCACAGTAATCAAGACGTTACAAGACTCCTATCATGACTAAATGTATTAAAGGCATCTGTTTTATCTCCTTTAATGACTATAACTCTGGGTCTATAAATACTTCATGTATATACCCTAAAAGGGGTCCGCTCTCTGGAATAACAATACTGCCTTACGCTGCCTAAATTTCATCTGCTTTCGTAGATTAGCTCTCGTAGTTGGAATTAAACTCCATCATTTGATGCTCTCGTTGAGAGACGATTTACGACAAAGACGATGGTTGGATCAAACAATCACAACTGTGCTGGCAGTAACCAAGGCGATGCTCATTCGCGACGGAGCAGCTTCCAGAGAAGGAACAACAACGTGTTAACCCCGGGCAATTTGAGGAATCATCTTCATGGTGGCGGGAGTTACATGCATCCAACAACACGTCCATCGCAGTTCCGGACTCCGGCCATCAGGAACCACGTTCTAGGCGTGGATGCCGTGCAAACATTAACTAGCTTGGCAACTTTCCAAAGGGCTGTGGAAACCCTGACCACAACCTTTCAAGGAATCGTTCCCAATACTTGTGAGAGGCCACCTTCTCCCCGATGTGTGCCATTGGTGACTCGTTAGGAGGAGGAGGCTAGGAAGCGGTGTTTGCGCACCGCCAGAGGAATTCACCTCTTGCAAGGTCTCAGAGGTCCCACCACTACAGGCAGACCCAATGACATCGGTGATGGTCCGCATCGGGGAACAAAGGGTTTCGTGCATGACAGACTCTCTTCAAGGGTGGAGAGAGGCGAAGAGGCCTCATCAGCAGTTGCTTCCTCCCACCATCGCAGCGTGCGTGGGGAAGATCTCAGGCATGAGGTCCCTGGACATTGACGGAACATAGGGATTATACTCCCCAACCCCGTGTCCAGGCTGGTCGGGATGATGACGATCTCAGAAGGCGTCTTGATGAACTCAGAAAAGCGGTAGATGGCTGGGTCAATCTCAATCATGATGTAAGGATTCCTGAGTCATTTATTCAGCAGATCATGGAGGCTCTATTGCCACATGGGTACAAGCCTTGCAACATTGTGACCTACCGAGGAAAAACTGATCTCCAACACCATGTTTCTAGATATTTTAATTTATTATTTTACTAACATTTTTTATTAAATGACAATGCAATTAAATTAATATGTAACATAAAAAATAAAAAAAGTACGTTGAATTAAATAACATACCATATCTTGAACACACTGCACATTGACCTCTATCTTGCAATGTCCTTCAAACCAAGTATTGTTTTCAATGGACATACCTCTATCTTGTGATCTGCCGCGAACTTGAGAATTGCCTCTGTTTTGACTTTGTCCTCTACCTCGACCTCGACTTCTTCCTCCATTTCTGCCTCCCCCTCGTCTGTTAGTTTCTGATACGAGGGCATATGATTGTTCTTTCCTAGCTTCCTTCCTTCGGGCTTCTTCGTTCATAAGGGCATCTGTGACCATCTGCATAGTCACATTGCCATTGGGAGCAGAATTGCTAAGAGTGACAACAAGAGTCTCCCAGATGTCAGGTAGAGAGATCAAGAGTAGTATCACCTGTTCTTCATCTTTAAGAACCCATCCGGTAGTGCTCAACTTATTCACAAGATCCTGGAATTGACTGGTGTGTTCAGACACCGAAATACCTCCTCGTAACTTGTGGTTTACTAATATCCTCATTAGTAACGTCTTATTTTGGGCAGTTTTTGCTTGATACATGCTACCAAGCTTCTCCCATAATGTGTAAGCCCTTTTTTCTTGAGCCACATGGTGGAACACACTATGATCTATCAGATTTTCGGTTCATTTTTGTCCATTCTTCATCCGTCTCTTTATCCGATTTCACGCCATTATTATCAAGAGGATCAGCTAAATCCCTCAAATTTAGCAAATCCTCCATCCGAGCCTTCCACATATTGTAATTTGTGGAAGTGAGCGAAATCATGGTGTCCGGTGATGATTTATCCATAATAAAACGCTCAATATATCTCGTACCTTATTTTCGAAGCCGAATTTGGACAAACGGAGCTCACCGTTGAATCCGGAATGGCCGAAAATGGTAGGAACCGGTCTAACCTCATCCAAAACCGGTCTGGATGGCGTTGAACCAGGCTTCACAACTACGAACCGGTTCGGTCCGGTTCAGGCAGCAGCCAAGTGTGCTGAAATAGGTGCCAGTGACGTGGCGACAGCTGGCGCACACGTTGCTGCCGTGTCGCCACGTGTCAGATGATGTGGCTATGATCCAGGTAGGCAGCCGACTCGGTGGCTGGTGAATGACGTCGACATCTAGTCCCGACCGTCACCGACATCCATTGTGTTGTTGTATTGCTTTTACTTTCATCCATTGTGTGACTATATATATAGTAGTTGTTGTTGCAACAGGTACGCATGTTTGCCTGATGATAGCGCAAATTAATAATTTTGTAACTCTTCCAAGCAATTATTCAAGCACTACGTATACTTTATATGATGTTCTTTATTATTACAAATTAACTACGTACTTTATGTTTGCAATCTCACATCAATATTACTGAGTTATTTTTGTTCATGCAAAATAAAGTTCTTGCTAAATGAAAATATTTCATACACTACCAAAAAGCTTCCTTATTAGCAAGGATTTTGAGATAACGTAGAATACTAGAATTGAATCATAACATAAATCATGCATGGTTGAGTTTTGTGTATATGAAACATGCAGAAATAGTTAGATGTTAATAACTATAAATTCATAGAAAAGATCGGAATGTGGTAAACAATGTTCTAAGGGATGCCAGACGCATATAGTATGGAGAGTATTTATTTGAAGGCCAATTCTATCGATACCATAGTTTGACTGTTGATCAAATATTGCACGCATTTCAATAATTTAAATATTTATAAATGATGAAATAAGGACTTGGAGTACTAATCAAATATCGTAAACCAAATTCAAGCATCCCTTTTCATTAACATGTACAAGAGGGATGTGGTAGGGTTACATTATTGAGATGGGGTACAAGAGGGATGCAATATGTATGTACAAGAGGGATGGGGTAGGGTTACATTATTGAGATGGGCCAATGTATATGGACCTAGACTTTGTGAACATCCACGTACATAGTAATTACATAACAATTCCCCATGGATGTACATTATTAAAAAAAATAACAAGATTTTTTTTTGTATAACCGGAAGGTAAACCACCCATCGACGGGGCGAATGTCGGGGGACATTCACCTATATCTTATTAAGATGATATCCAGTATAAATCAGAGAGAGGGACCGAACCAAAACCTCTCAGAAGAACACCAATGAGAAAAACAATGCTAAAGAAGAGCTAGACAAACTCTAAAAAGAGTCTATCTAAACCTCAAAAAGAAAAACCTTATCAACAACAAAGTAAATGAAAGGAGAAAAAAATCTACTCAAAAGATGTAAGGAGTAGATCTCTTGTCAAGAAGTAATGCACCAACGATCTCCAATGGAAGAGGATCACCTTTTCTCCAGCTGAAAGCCTGCTGCAGGCCCAAACTAGCCACCAACCGAGCTGCTTTATTAGCCTGATCCGGAATCAAAGAGGAAATGGTGCATCGTTAAAAACCTTGGCAAGGAGAATCGAGTTGGACAAAACCTTGATCAAGGGAAAAAGAGTGCAATAACACATGTGAAGTCGTATAACGGATGACTCGTCCCCCGAGGTCGGAGTGTGATGCACTATAAAGAGGTAAGAGCACGCAAGAACTCGTATGTAGTCAAGAGTGTGCGGTATTAACATTTATATTGGAGCTTATAAATCGTCACACTCATATGACATGACCCGGTGGTGCGAGTGTGGGTGCTCAACCAGTGTACGAGTGTGTGTGCTCGTCCGGCGTACTTGAGTGATCAAATTTCATTAGTCCGTTGTTCAATGTTAAAATTAGACACACTTAACAAGAGTAAAAGCAATAATTATCCCACTTAATTTTTTCTTTTTTAACGTTTCAATTTATGATTTTTTTTCTTTTTACTAAATAACCGTAGGAGAGATTTTTAGCACTTATCTTGTGGTCCCAGTTCGCTCAAAATGACAAAATGGCCCCCAGAAGCTCCAAGCAGCATTTCGCACCTAAAATTAGAATCCTAAATGTTGACCAGTCTTATCCTTACTCTGAGGGTTTGTGCGCCACACTTTTTTTAAGGATGGCCGGGATGATGACGATCTCAGAAGGCATCTTGATGAACTCAACAGAGCGGTGGATGGCAGGGTCAATCTCAATCATGATGTCTGGATTCCTGAGTCATTTATTCAGCAGATCATGGAGGCTCTGTTGCCACAGGGGTACAAGCCTTACAACATTGTGACCCACCGAGGAAAAGCTGGTCCCCAGCACCATGTTTCTAGATATTTTAATTTATTATTTTACTAACATTTTTTATTAAATGACAATGCAATTAAATTAATATGTAACATAAAAAATAAAAAAAGTACGTTGAATTAAATAACATACCATATCTTGAATACACTGCACATTGACCTCTCAAATGGCATCTAATAAGGATGTTTTCTTTTGGACTGAAATTTGCTGGTCTGGTCAGGTAAGCGTCTGGTCTTTATGTATTTTATAACTACGGAAGTCAAGTCTGGTCTGGTCTGATCTGGTCTGATCTGATCTGGGACTGAAAACAGTCCAAAAGAAAACATTCTAACATCATTGAATTACTCTAGAAGAACTATAATATATACGTAGTATACTGTAAATAAAATGAAATTTTTTTTCATCCAAAATAAAATAAAATAAAATGAAATTTGTACGGAGTATTAAACAACTCCAATTAGTCCAAGAGAAAATTGCTCTCCGTAGGAGCAAATCAAAGGAATTTTACAAAAATAGGATTGAGTAACGTTTTTTCATTGCGTAGGATCTATTTAGCACCATTTTTGAAAACTGTATTCTTGTCTTCCATTTTTACCCTTCCCTTTATATTAGTATATTTAAAATAAAAATACAGACCTACTTGGACAGTACACAACCGCTGCGGGCTATGTCTCTCGGCCACACCACAGAACACCACCGTGTACAATGACGCCGCCCACCACCGCCATTTTCTCCGATGACGCCCACTGCCGCCGTGACCACCAAGCTTGCTCTCCAGTGAATCTCTCTGGTGCTGCCTCCAATCCAGCAAGACAACTTCAGATCTGCACTGACATCCCTCCGACAAGACTGCTCCATCTCTGGTTGGAAGCCTTCTCCGGCGAGATCGGAGTCTACCAAGCTCCAATTTCATCATTAGATATAGTAAATTGTATATATGTTGTTTTATGTGACCTGCTCTGCAATTGAACTATTATGAAAATTTATTGTCTGTTTAATGACTACATACTATCTATGTATTGTCTGCTATTGAACTATTATTAGAACTTACCGTCTGTTTACTGACTACATAATGTCTATGTATTGTCTAGTGTTTGCAAGTTTAATTTTAGATCTGGTTTCTTCAAACGTTTTGCAAAGTACATGGTGACTTTGTGAAAATATGAAATAGAATTTCGAAATTGGTAAAATCAATGTCCAGAAATTAATAAATTGACATTTTCAGACTGCAGAGACTTAAAAAAATCGTTGTTCAAAACAAATAAACTGAAATGAATGAAAAAATTAGATCTAAAACCTTGAGATAACCAATCATTGAAGTCTCTCATTTTTTGAATCCAAGAAATTCAGATCTAAAACAGCAATTTTTTTATTTTCAATCTCAAAATTGAACAAATAAAATCAAAACAAAAGTTCAAAAGAGCTCAGAGATGGAGAAAATCGAGTACTTGGACAAGGAGAATGAGGATATTAGGAGTAGAAAGAAGATGAAAAGAAGAAGAGGAAAAAGAAGAACATGAACACTTACATGTGAATCGTCTTCGCCGGTGGCTAAATTGAGGAGAAAGGTTGAAGCCATGGGAGAAGAAGATATGGAAGCAGAGAGGGGGGATGAGAGGAGCGAGAAATGCAAGCAGAGAGGGGGGATGAGAGGAGCGAGAAGAAATACGATACATAAGGGGATATATAAGAGCTGGGAAAAGAAAGGCGGTGCAGGTAGAACTGTAGGAGAAAAGGTGGTCAAGGGTACTATGGTCAAAATAGGCATTGTTTAGTCCTACGCTTAGTTCTGGTCCTAATTTTAGAAAGTTATTAAGATTAAGTCTTATTTGTATAAATCTCCCTTAGTCCAATGGTTAATGTATACTACGTATGTAATTAGAAAACTTGTCATGCTAGGAACTGAATTTATTTCGAGTTTGTCATGGATTTGTTACCTAAACATCCATCACAAAGCCTTTGAGCCGCTGTGTCAGATTACTATATGCAACAAATTCTGTAACAAAATTTAAGACATGGTAAACCCACTTTTGTGAGGGATTTCTTCCATGACAAATACAATAGGTTCAATTTTTTCAGGAATTCTGTCTGTGAGAAATTCGGACAGTATAAAATGTCAAGGGATGTTGTCATGGATTTAATATGTCACAACATTCCAGCTCAAAACCGCCATCACGGATTACTTTGTCAAAAGAATTCAAAGATACACACCTGTGACAATTTTTTTCTAAACATGACCAAAAGATTATACGGAGTATTTTGTAGTGATTCCAATTAAGCCGATTAACGAGCTTATATTTGGTATGAACGATCCTCATACTTTTATCTTTGCATCATAGATTATGAACTTATTTGATACTAATCAAGTACTTTGTGATGTTAAACACGAATTTAATCATTTATGTAACAATATTATTTAGAGATACTCATGGAAAAAAGACATTTGAGCTTGTGTGGACAGCTATCGTATCAAGATTAAATTAAATACGGAGTATTTCTTACTTTCCTATGTTTTCTTGTAAAGTGAATTCTAAGGAGTTGATGGGAATATAAGTTACACTTTCATGACTTCCGGTGTGAACTGCCAAACACGTAATATATGACGACTTCCAATGTGAATTCGATCAACATGACTTCCAATGTAATATATGACCTCGCAAAAAAACATGTAATACTACGTATATCATATATGACGTTTGCAAAAATAGAATTATTAAGACAAACGGACGGACCTGTGATACTTTATTACTTTTGATAAAAAAAAATATCAATACAAACATAAATTATTACTCCCTCACATGACCGGCGCGCCGTCATTGCACGAATCTCGAGGCCTACTTTTTGATCTGTGCCGTCCATTTGAGTAAGGCACCTCTGCCTTAAGGCAGAGGATCCCAATCCGTGTATAAGAGGACTTTTTTTTGTATAAAATCATAGCTAGAGAGTTATTGTCCACTCAGGTGTATCAAAATGGGAAAAACTAAAAAGTTTAGGACATATGTATTTCTCTTCATCCTCCTCCTGCTCCAAATCCTTCTTCATGTATCATCTTCCAATGCTGTTCCTTCCACTGCTTTTAGACGTAATCAAGCTAGTTCCTCCAGGGGTAATACGGTCGCGCCTTGGCTTCTGATTTTATGTATAGTAATAATATTAATAATGGCTGTTTTGGTTGTGTGTTATTTAGCAAAGAAATATGGATGAGTTAATCTGTTTTGGTTGGTACGAAGTGTGTGTTGTATTGTGCATTTGTGCATATACAAAGGGAAAGGGGTCATCTACGGGTTTTGTGGGTTTTGTTAAAAAAGTAAGATGCCGTTAATTATTTACTTACTTAATTACATCCTTCATTTTGTAGTGACTATATATGGTAACTCTATAACTATGTTCTGCCGCCGTCGCTACGAATGGCTGCATGACGGCGCGCGCCGGTCATGTGCGGTGTTCAATACAAAGTAATGAAATATTATTGGCTTCCCAATATGAAGAAATGAAATATAGATCAAAATCTTAGATTGTGTGATTCCTTCAACCAAGCACAACTTTATGTGATTCAACCAAGCACTACTTTCTTTGATGTTCTTCACTTTTGCTAATTACGATGTTTGTTCGACGATAAAGCAAATTGATCCTTGTCAACACTCGAATTAGGTTTAGAAAATAAATTTACATATTCAGAAATTATATTAAAACCGCCACAAAACCTGCAAAAAATAATTCAAATTTCATAAACTTATGATATATAAAATAAGAGATTAAGAGTGATTTGAGTTACCAAGTGAATAGGAAAAATATCTTATAAAATGGGACCGAGGGAGTATTATATTCTTCACAACATAAAATAGCTATGCGCTCTATAATCAATATTGAGATTTGATTGTTGGAATAAATCCGATAATACTTTAATCTTCATATTGGAATTATTTAGAGAATTAACTGAGCGGAAGCGTACCTGACTCCATTGGAGATGAACTTTACAGATCCGGGAGACGGAGGCTAGGGTTTGGATCTTCTAGTTGATACACACCCTCGAGAATTATCTCTCTAGCGATGAGATGCAGAAAGACGGAATGGCGTGTTCAACTAGGGACCATAACCCCTCTATTTATAGAGAATGCTTAACCCTAATCAGCCCATCATTAATTAGGTTAAGCCCATGGGTCTCTACACATTTAGGCCCTATACCTTATTAGATAACTTATTAGCCCACTTAAATTAATATCCATAGGACCACTAATTTTTGGGCTAAATATAAGATAGCATATAACATACAATTAACCCAATAAATAATATATTGTGAATATTATATGTAGTATAAGTCCAATAATCTAACATTGATGAGTTGTTGTGACATGAAATTTGTATATATGTCTATATATATACATCGGTATATATACATCGGTGTATAGAAAAATTGCCCTCTAAAAAGGTTTTTGAGTTCTAAAAATGTGACTGTAAATTCAAAAAAACAAATACGGAGTATGACTGTTCAAATGCTTTCCAAAAAAGTGATTGAGACCTCGATCATTATGAATGACAATTGATTTAATTTAATTATATGTGTATAATATTCATTTCTCTCAAATGTATTCTTCTCATTTAACCGCTCCCTTTCCCTCAATAATCTACGTACAATGTACTCCCTATTTCTTTTTTAGCTAAAGGATCAAATATGCACAAAATGATGGGATTGAGTAGGCATCCATTTGCATGATTGAATTGGTTCTTCAAAGTTTCTAGACCTCGAAGTGGGTGTTGACCAGCTTTGACCTTGCCTAGGTTTGACTTTGAGAGTTGACCTTCAGTGAAGCTTGTTCCGTAAACCTTTGGATGAAAATTTTGAGTTCAGAAACTTGTAAGGGTTTTCGAACCAAGGTAATATCTGAATGGATGTTTTCAAAATTGGCAGTTAACTAGGTCAAGCCAAATGAATTACTGAATTAGAGGATGAGATAATTCGTCATAGCTTCATATGGTGATTTGTGTAGAACTTGTTTTCTCATTTTCAAATAGTGGTTATGGGATGAAATCATATCTACTTGTAAAATGATACGCCCAAAACAAGTTTTTTGGATGAAAAGATTTTCGAAATAGCTAAAGTTTTCAAAAAGGCTTAGGTTTTCGAAGAGCTCAAGTTTTCGAAAAGCTCAAGGCCTGTTTACTAACAAAGAAATTTTTCAGTTTTCCAGAAAACTGGAAAACTGGAAAACAGAAAACAGGAAACGTGTTTACCAAAGCAATTGCTGGAAAACTGGAGAAAGAAAAAAAGAAAAACGCGTTTACCAAATTGTTTTCCAGTGTACATGGTAAATAATAAAATAAAAGTTATAAAATTCAATTTTGTGTACTTTTATTTTAAGCTAACATTGCAGATTATTAGTGTACATGGTAATTGGTAAACAATGATTCTAAATTGAACAAATTAATAGATTGTTTATATATTCAGGATATTGATGTTATATAAAAGGTATAAAATTATGAATTTTGATATATTTTTGTCAATATCGGAGCAAGTTGTAACACTTCAAAAACAGACGCTTTTTATGGTGTTATTTTTTTGTTTTTATATATGAAATATTGGTGTCATATAAAAGATAATAAAAAGTTATAAATTTTAGTATAGCTTTTGTAACAATTGGAGTACAAATGAAAAAGTTACTCCCTCCGTTCCTAAAAATTCTTCCCGGTTTGACTTGGCACGCCTATTAAGAAAGTGGAATAAAGTGGAAATGTGTGGTTGTGGTTGTGTGAGAAAAAGGTAAAATGAATGTGAGCCACACAAATTGTCCAAAAAGGGAAAGTGGGAAGAATTTTTGGGAACGGCCCAAAAAGGAAAGTGAGAAGTATTTTTGGGAACGGAGGGAGTATAACACTTTTAAAAAAAATGGTTGATTTTTTATTGATGGGACCCATATAGATTATCAACCTCTTTTGTCATTGGTTGCTACATTATGTACGTAGCACGGATCACGTATTCCGTTATTTGATTTGCATAAGCCGCCAACTGATTTGGCGGTTCTCTTAATAGTTTAATAGAAATTACTTCAAATATGACTAAAATTATGACAAAAACTCAAAATAGGACTTGCTATGTTTTTTATTCCAAAATAGGACCATAGTGGTCCTATTGGAAACATACTCATTTCTTCCTTCCATCCTTACCCCTCCTTTAAATATTAGTAAAAGATAGCTAAAAGTCACAATTAAATGTTTAATTCATAATAAATTCGAAAAAAATTCAATAATTCGTAGAAAAATAAAAAAAATTAATAAAATTTTTATAAAATAAAAAATAAGAATTTTTTTTTTGAAAATTAATAAAAAATAGTAAAACTCCATAAAAAAATTAAAAAAAATATGGATACCTTTCCCACCGCCTGTACTACCTCCCTGAACCACCACCTCCGATCGGTGTAAAAAATGCCACTTTTTTTTTAAATTTCACAAAAATGGCATATTTCTCTATGAGAATGCCAACATTTTCATTCTGCCAACTTGAATCCTTTGGACTTTTGCCAAAAATATGGCATTCATAATTTTTTGGCATTTTTTTACCCCGGTGACAGGAGGTGGTGGTACCGCCTCTGTAACGCCCCTCTCAGGGTTAAAGGAATCGTTACACTAACTTACTACTTTTAAAAATA